AACACAACATGCAGGTATGTACTAGAATGATACCATTTATATGGTGCTCTGCTGGCTACTAGAGTTTATTTTAAGCCATGTACACTCTGGGCTTAGCGATGTGATATGCATCGAACAGACAGCGAAGTTTTAATACATATCGTAGAAATACAGTACAGTATATACAGCGAGGATATAATATATATCGTGTAAACTAGCTTTGCTGAATTGGCTGCTTCATCCGTCAAACATGCTCTCACTGCAATGCAGGGCCTCGTCATTGCCATCGTGCTGGCTGTTGCCGCCGCCGCCCCGGCACCGGAGACACTTGGCTACCAGCCCGCTCCGGCTCCCTACCACCCGGCACCCTCGTACAAGCCGGCCTCTTACCACTCTGAGGCCCAGTACAAGGAGGCGGCCAAGCCGTTCGCTTACGACTACGTCGTCAACGACCACTACACTGGTACCAACTTCGCCAAGAAGGAGGAGAGCGATGGCCACAACACCAAGGGATATTACTCGGTGGCTCTGCCCGACGGCCGTGTCCAGCACGTGAAGTACGTCACCGATAACTACGGTGGCTACAACGCTGAGGTCACCTACGAGGGAGAGGCCCAGTTCCCCGAGTACCACCCGGCTCCTGCCTACAAGGCTGCCGCCCCAGCGTACAAGGCTGCCGCCCCAGTCTACAGGGCTGCCGCCCCAGCCTACAGGGCTGCCGCCCCTGCCTACAAGACTGACGGGCTGCCGCCCCAGCCTACAGGGCTGCCGCCCCTGCCTACAAGACTGGCGCTCCTGCCTACAGGGCTGCTGCTCCGGCCTACAAGGTTGCCACCCCAGTCAATAAGCCCGTTTACAAGCCTGCTTACAGCTCTCCCACCCCGGCATACAAGGCCGCGGCATACTAGTCAACCACTGAGGATGACCTTCTATTTAAATGCATGAATGCTGTGTTGTGATGATTTCTAACTAGCTGTATTTCAATACAAGGAAATAAGATCTGGACTAACAAACTATGGGCTATGAACCACGTGGCATTGACTGAAGCGATCATGCGTTTTCCAGTGGGATAATTTCATTGATGCGACTGTGCTATGGAACTGGCCTGCATGGCATATTGATGCTGTCCCAGTTGAAGTTCTAAGTTGGGATGTGGATGCGTGGGAGAGATGGGCATTTTAGTCGGATTACCGGAAGAGGAACGATGCTAAATATTCAGAAACTTGGAAGAGGGGCTCTGTTCCCCGCTCCTCCTGGTTTCCGGGCACCTAGATCGCTTGGTGCGATGAGTCATTTTTTCATCAGTTGTAAGAAAAAGACCGTCTTGATGGTTACGCTGACAAGCGATTCGTACCCAGTTTTACCTTTTTTCTTATCCAAGCAAGTTGTGTTTTGTAAAGATTGTGCCCGAATTCCCTCGAAAACGGGTATCAAGTGCTTGATTTTTTTTCAATTTTTTCTACCACACGATAACCTGATAGGAATGAAAAACACTTGATTTGCTCGTTTTTGTAATAATTCCTCGACCGTTCCAGGCAGAAAGGTGTGAAACTGACACGACGCTCCTAGCACTCAGCCTCACCTCCGTTGTCTGGGTTGTCCGGGCCGCCATTGCGTACGTCACACACTTCACGGGGAAGCACAGCCAATGAGAGTTCCACAAAAGTCATGGTGCCAAGCCGACCCCAGTTTGACTTGACAGAAAACGCGTGCGGAAAATACACCGGACTAAAATGGAGTGGGAAAGGACTTTTGGGACACTAATCGTCACCATTTAGGCATCAGATCGCGGAAAGAAACCATTTCTCACACGCATCATACGGCCAGGCAGAGTTGCAACTGAGCGTGATGACGTCACTGAAGGCGCTGAGATGATGTGCAACTGTGTTGAAGAAACGCTGCTGTACGACTCCAACATCGAGCAGGCCTTCTCAAGGATTATGGTCTCATGGTCTTAAATATACGGATTAGAGACACAAGATTCTCTGGTATATCAGCCCGCAGCCCAGCCCGCCCCGCCTAGCTAGTGATCCAGCCCGAAAAGCCCACTATAATACATTGCTCATCCATCTAAATACATTTCAATATTTGATAGCAATCGATCTGCCATTCAATCTAACACAGCTATGCAAAATTTGGCACCACTTTGCTGCGCCGCTCGAAACCATCCTGGAATACATTTGGGGGTCAAACTGACTCCCACCCGAGCGCGTGTTGAGCTATTGCACATGCATGCTATTATTTCAGACTTATTTTAGACCGATACATTCACACGCGCTCGGGTGGAAGTTAAGCTGACCCGCACCCCGAAGTTTTTTTCTTGAGTGGAAAGCAAGCTGAAAGAAAAAAAAAACATCATGATGTCATGGATGCCCGGGCCACCCTGACAGAGTCTCACACAAAATACTGAGCACATCGTCGCGGGCGTGTAGGTCAGAAACTAGAGTGGATAAGGGGGTGAGGGGGGCCAGGATGCGAGTTGTACTGAATGATCTTCAAGATGGCCTTTTTGGTTCAAAATCGCACACGAACGCGAAGAACTCCCCTTAATCTTCCCTCGTTTTTAAGATATGTCAAGATGAATCATTGAGCTTACTAACCACGGTGCATGAAGGGGGAATGAGGTAAGTGGCTGACTACCCAGCTTTAGTGTATGATTATCGTATAGCGATGTGCGTATACACCATATAGTGGTGGTCGACCACGTCAGCTAGTGTTGAAAATTTCAGAGAAATTTGAAACGTTGACACTCGGCCTCTATGGACGTTGACTGGCAGCAACGTTCCAAAATGTTCGGGGTTCGAATGTCTCCGCATCAACCTGTTCTGAAAATGGTCGTCACTTCAAAATGTATGACATCCTAACGACGTTATCATAATCATGAAATGGTTGTCATCAGCTTTGGGAACATAAACGTAGGTTGACACAGCTGTGTCACCGGAACGCGCACAATGCAAACGTCATGCCCATTTAGGTTAAAACCTCCGTGTTTGACCAGTTTATTTTATTTCTATAAAACAGATCAGGTCACAATAAGTATCTTAACACAGGACCCAATCACTTAAAATAGTAGTTTGTTCTCAGCGTCTGACTAGTTTGCCGCAAGCTTGAATCTCAAAGATGGATAACCTGGAATCAGGCTTGCATTTAGGCTTGTTAACTAGGGCGTGGTTATGTTTTTGAAAGCAGAATTTTGTTCCAAGTAATAATAATTGTTATAATATTTAAGATCTGCTTAAAGGTATAGCATAACGTGGCTCTTAATAACTGAATAATCATAAGCTGTTGTTTATCTGATAAAAATAGCAAAAGTCTATTCATGAGGAAAGATGTGACTTGCTCTAGCTCCCTCCCTTACCGTTAATGGAACAGGCGCATTAACACGGACACAATCAAATGCGGGAGGTTAAAAAACTCTCCACGTTCGCCACTCCCTCGCACCACCGTCGGCGTCATAGCCCGTTTAAGCATTAATTGCATTGCAGTTGTTTGCCGTTTCAAGTTGTCACGCACTTCATCAAACCTGTCGTTAACTCATAGACAATCGGCTCCCTAGTCACATACGTCTGCCTCTAAATTTATTCGGTATGGGCACGAAACTGCCCGTTGTTCTTGCCGGCCATTTGCGAATAAGACTAGTGTATGATTATTCACTTTTAGTGTCACTGCACACATAGATCACCACCTGGACAAGAAAAGGTCATCATTGTATTCGCCACTGAATTCTACGCTATTGGCTCACTGGTCATTTGCACATTCCTCTAACGGGTTGCTCACTATCCGCACAAATAATTCTGATTTTTGTTTGCTACCTTAGCATTATATTCAGACTCCAGCGGCCCAGCGCATTGAAGTCTTGGCACCAGTGACGTCACGCTAGTTTTTATGAGCCAATGCAAGGCTGTTGTTTTCGTTCCCCAACCGACCTTGAGTAAGCTAGGCGAAGATGAAACGGGAATCACTGGGCGGTTTTACCACGCTTATGCGACAATCTCTCCGCTGTAAATATATCAAAATGTGCCTACATCCATTCCTACCTTGTTCCAATATTTTCCAGTACAGGCGTTTCCATTAATGCCCTTTTAAAGCGCTTCCTAACCACATTTCGCGGCCTAATTCACGAACTATCAGAAGAAGGCAAATTTTAAGCAAAATGGTGTGTGACATCACATTTCGAGACATGCCGTGGCCTGTACTAATCTAGGAAACGGTCGAAATTCTCTTGCAACTTTCTCGTGATGATATGCCTATCACGTTATAAAGCATTTCAGCTATACTTCATTATGATTTGCCCATGATTACGAACATGGCTAACCTACCTGCAAAAAGCTTCGACAGCATGGAAACCCTGGGCTTTGAGGCTTTTGGGTTTTTCCGTCTTTGCCTTTGTACTGAATGTTGTGCGGAGGAGGGAGAGCATCCTAATGACATGAGCGCTCTTAAACATTCAGCCTCATAACCCTACACGATACCTATTCCCCCATATTCTGGTTTCTCCTTGGACTTAACCCACTATATAATTGCTTTCGGACGAAATACGGCCGAACAGGTAGCGAATTGGATGCGATATAATGGGCCAAAAGCTTTGGAGGAGGCGAGAACTGCTGTCAGCTGGGGATGGGAGAGAAGTTGAAAGATCTCAAATGAATGATTCAAAATCAAACGAATGCGTCAAAATGTTCGCCTTGGGTTCAGCGCAAGTCCAAAAAAAGATCAGTACGAACCTGCTGAGTCATAAGCTATATGTTCCAGCCCATTTATCTTCCGACTTACCTGCAGAAATTGAATGGGGTGTACATGTGCAACTGCATGGGTCACATCATGGTCTACTTCTAGGAGATGGGCGTGTTCCAGGAATTCCTTGCCAATTCGTCGGCGCAACCGGTGACACCGTTGGACGTGTCCGTTCACTGAAATCTGACCGTGACCGCCTATCAGTGGTTAGCGGCCGACCTATAAAAGCGAAAGCACCAAGGGAGCCGACACCACTTGCACTGTACACCCGGCCTTCAGAACACACCATGAAGGTATGTACTATGATGATGCCATTTATATGGTGCTCTGCTGGCTACTAGAGAGTTTACTTCAAGCCAAGAACACTCCGGGCTTAGCGATGTGATATGCATTGCACAGATAGCAATGTTTTAGTATATATCGTGCAAAACAGCTCTGCTGAATTGGCTGGTTCATCCGTCAATTACACTCTCAATGCATTACAGGGCCTCGTCATTGCCGCCGTGCTGGCTGTTGCCGCTGCCGCCCCGGCACCGGAGACGCTGGGCTACAAGTCCGCTCCGTCACCCTACCACCCGGCCCCCTCCTACAAACCGGCCTTTTACCACCCGGACCCCCATTACAAGGAGGAGGCCAAGCCGTTCGCCTACGACTACGCTGTCAACGATCACTACACGGGCACCAACTTCGCCAAGAAGGAGGAGAGCGATGGCCACAACACCAAGGGATATTACTCGGTGGCTCTGCCCGACAGCCGTGTCCAGCACGTCAAGTACGTCGTCGACAACTACGGCGGCTACAACGCTGAGGTCACCTACGAGGGAGAGGCCAAGTACCCCGAGTACCACCCCGCCCCTGCCTACAAGGCTGCTGCCCCTGCCTACAAGCCTGTCCACAAGCCTGCTTACAGCAATGCCGCCCCGGCATATAAGTCCGCTGTATACTAGCCGCATGGTGACAACGGCCCGCCCTTTTAAATCTATTCATATTTGTGCCACCATGTTTTTCATTTTTTGCCCTCTGTACTACTGCAATAAAAAGATTTGGTCGAGTCTTGCTGTTTTGACCCAAGTTATTCTAAGTTTTCTACCGTTCAAATGTCTCTGAGCCGGTTGTCAGAAAAGACAGTCTATATAGACCGAAGGCAACCTCCCACAGTCGCTGTTCCTATAATGACTATTTAGCAGGTACTTGTGAGTCATTCGCAACTTTTCACCTTACATGCTGCCGAAATTTTCAGTGAGATAGTAGAGGGATTCAAAACAGTTATTTCCGGAAGCAGAGTTTCTGCGATCAATTTAAGTGGTGTCGTGTGAAGGCATTACGCTGGATGGTGTCTAACAGTGGTTAATTCAGTGCATTGTCCTGTTAAACACCCCCTGGCCCGCTGATTTCTGAGGGGTGAGAACATCTCCCTTCTTTTGGAGCGACCCCGAACCGTGCTAAGTAAGTGCACTATGTTAAGAGTGTCGCCAGGTGGTGAAGCTACCACGCTATGTGAATGTGCCCTCGGTGTTAAATTTTGTTGCAGGTTATGAAGTGCGCAGAAGAATCGTGGGCATA